AACAGCTTTGTTAGGGGATATTTTTCCCCAAAAATTTACCCTCACTATTTTTTCACAAATGTCCTTTAATCGCTGAAAAAAAAGGGCCCCTTTCCCTCTCTCGTGCTCTGAACAGTTTCCCCAACTAAGGGCCCGTTGCTGTTTTAGATGAAGATCTTGCCCTTCAGTGGTTAGCTTTCCCTGTGGTTGTCCCCACTTTAATCTGGCCACCCCTCCAACCCCCTGGACTTCCCCAAAGACAAGTAGTTCCCCAAGGGTGTGGGTCTCAGGGTCAGCCCCAAACCCTTCAAAATTTTGGGCCAGTTTTTTCCAAGAAAAGGTTTAAAGTCCGGAAGTCATCCTGCCAAATCTTATCTTTTAAAGGTTATGCAATTGAGGATATTGAAGTGATTTCCAGAACTCTTTCAGGTCAATTTAGTGTTGAGGTCCTTAAAAACACCTTTTAAACATTCTTTGGTGTAGAGTTTTTTGAAGTTTGAAATGGGCGTGGTCCATGGGCTTATTTGCAGTCACAAGCACAAAAAAAACAATGTTTTGGATGAAAGCGCGGGTAATGCTCCCCCAACGAGTAACAAGGGGAGACTGGGCCAAAAGTGGGGGCGGCTGCGCCCCGCGGGAGTAGACCGTCTGGTAGGACGATTTCCCAGGATTACAAAAACGGGGGAAAAATTTTTCCAAAAAGTGGTCGAAAACTGAATTGTATATAACCAGAGAACAAAAACCCCGGGGTTCCCCTGTAATTTAGGGTCCGGATTTTGGGGCTGAAGGGGCAGTCCCGGGAAGTTTCCCAGTTCGTCCTTCCAAAATTTTCGAAACCCTTTGCAGTTGGTGATCTTATCTAAGCAGATACCTTTTCTTATCTTTATAGGTATTCTGGAAATGCCACTGGTGCAAAGACCGTAAGTAGGGAGTGGTTTCTGGGGACTGGGACTACCCCGACACCTCTGCAGTAACTTTGCACCAAAAGGGAATTTGTTTCTACTTTACCCCCCCCTGTACATATATGCTGAAGAAAGTCCTATTGAAACCCCATAATAGCAAAAAAATCTCACCCCCCCAGAAAACAGACTTTGCTGGAACCCGGAACTGGCTTTTAGCTGTCCCCGTGCCCATTCCCTTGGCCTTAGGTTTTTGTACCTACTATTCCTCAGGCCTGTACTTCCCCTTCTCAGGCACTGTACTTCCCATTTTTCGGGACTTTATTCCCTTCTTTTGGGATGTATTAAATTAAAATGCCTGTACTAAAATCAAATGCAATGTCTTTTAAAAAGGCACTGTTTGCTAATCAGCCATACCAGGACGGGGATAGAAACCCCGATCAGAGTTCAAAACTCCCGACCGTCGCGGGCCTTTCCCGGTCCGTGGGAGGTTTGTTTCAATGTGTCTTTACGTTTTTATAGTCCTGCTAATAGGACTGTACCGCTATTCTAGGCCTGAAAATGCTATTCATCAGGGCCCGTACCTATTTATCAGGCATACCTGTGTTCTTCAGGGACTTTCTGCTATTTATAGGCACTGTACCCGTATTCTTTATGCATGTACCCATTTTCGGGACCTACCTATTCAGGCATGTACCTGCTATTCATCAAGCCTGTTCCTACTATTCTTCAGGCACTGTACCTGCTATTATCAGGACTGTACCTATTCTTCAGGATTGTACCACTATACCTCAGGGGCTGTACCCGCTATTCATCAAGCCTGTTCCCATTATTATTCAGGCCTGTACTTATTCTCAGGCATACCCGCTGTTCATCGGACTGTACCCATTCTTCAGGGATTGTCCCACTATACCTCAGGCACTGTCCCATTCTTTAGGCCCGTACCTATTTTCGGGACTGACCCGTTTTTAGGCATATTCCTATGTTTTTCGGGACTGTACATACTGTTCCCTTCAGGCCTGGTACCTATTCAAATAATTACTAAAAAAACTACAGGAAAATTTTAAATTTTAAACAAAAAAATAAATTTGGATATATTTATTTAACATAATTAGATATATAATACAAAAAAACGCAATTTTACAGTTAAGTCGATACAGTGCACAATGGAGCGAAATGTAAACAATCACCCTTTTTTCAAATATACGAATGCGTTCACTTCCCATTTTTAAATTTAAATTAAACTTTATTTTTTTCTAAATTTTATCTTAACTGTAGGTAGGTTTTCAGTGTGGGGGATAAATTTTGCTTCGATTGCTCATTTTCCAGTTTTCAACCGGATAAAGGTTTAAAATGCATAAATTTGTGATTTTTTTTTTTCCCCCGGGGTGTAGGGACAAAGATTTAGATTTTAAATGGTGGAAAGGGTTTGCAAAAAAGTGAGATCAATTAACAGTTGTGCTTTAGTTAAGCTATAAAAAGTTGTTTACATCTTTCCAAGTTATATATTGCGAATAGCTTTATGAACAAGTTTTCAAATAAGATTAAATCTACTTTCAGCGGAAATAAAACTTTTTGTTTCCCTTTTATTGCCGCTTTTAAAAAATTGACATTTTATGTCGTATAAAAATTTTAAGGATGAATGGTTAGGAAATAGGGGGATTTATAACAATACTACAGTATAGCCCTATTGGCCTTCATTGGTATGTTGCTTCAATATTACATATAGAAAGGCTCTGCGTGCATTCGATTGAGCTTAAGTTTCTACATAATTTAAAAAGAAGTACATAGCTAAACAAATAGTGATATCTGAAGAAGTATGAAAAATGTGACCAGCACAAAGAATTAGTAACCTATATAAATACAAAGAAAGAAATAAAGCATTTGTGTACTTCAAAGGATTTAAAGTTTAGATATAAATTATATCAGTGACATCAAATTGCTTACACAAAATTTGAGTAATTATACTAAAATATACATGGTGCATAGAACATGGTTAGATTGTGCTTTATATAGGCATTATTATTGCTAAAACACTATTTTTTTTATCTAGTAAGTTCTAATGAAAACATACACTGCATTATTATGAATGAAACCTTGTACAAAGGTAACTATGTTTAAAAATGGCTAGAAAAATACCTAATCTACCTGGAGACACAATATTGGTAAGTGAGCATGTATAAATGCCCCTGAAATATTTTGCCACAATCTTTGACTTTTCTTTGTAATCTGGCCATTTTCTGTCCTTCAAATCAAGAAGCGAGTTAAGTAATTAACTTGGGACACACCAAAACTACATTGTTGTACACCAATAACCCGTCCTTGTCCTCTCATATATATATATATATATACTTGCTCCCTTACCTGTGTGTGTTTGTGTGTGACTTGTAAATGGTCCAAGTTGGACTGAAGCACTGTCATAAGTTACTCCTATGTGCGGGTTATTTGTGTAATATTGTTGTTTGGAAATGACTTACAACCACTCGTACTATATTATAAAATGGAAGTGTGCTTCCATATTCCTGAAATGTAACATCCTTCATCATCATTTCCACTTTGTGTAATATAATTCCTATGAGGCAGATATTTAGTATCTAAAATTACCATAAATTTCCAGCCATAAGTCTATAGGAATACATTCAGTAAGGAAAAGAAGTAAGTTTCTACATAACTTCCATTAGTCAAAGGACATACTTGATCTATATACAAATATTACATATTTTGAATTTGCTGTTGATGCTGATAGGATCTTTTCAGTTTTGTTTAATTATGGATCTTTAGATTTCCTTAGCGTGGGTTTAGCACTTGGTTTTGATTTTAATAATAATTATAGATTTCCTTAAATATAGTTATGGTACTACATCCTCTAAATATGCTTTGGTTATTTTTTAAGATTCTTTTAATGTTGTTTGAATCACCAGTCTGACACTCGTACACAAACACCAGCATCACACTGGTTAATAGCTCTGCCTGTCAGTGTTCCTTCCTGTTGGACACTGTGGATCACTTCATACTCATGTCTCCTGTTCCATTCTACTTGGGCTTTCCTCCTCAGGTCCTTAGCTCCTTATGGTGTGCTTTGCCTGTCACTCCCTATCCTCCTGAAGAGTGCCACAACATCCTAGCCTTTTATGGTGCATTGTTTTATCAATGATTTTGTCACTTGGGTTCATATAGCTTTGGAGTTAGCCTTCAACCCAAGAGCATTAATGAATCATCATACCAGAGTACATATTTCCAATTTTTCATAAATTACTATACACAGTTTTACACACACAATTTTGGATTAAAAAGGTAGACCTGTGGCTGGAAATATACTGCAAGTTTTTCAAATTAATATTGTTATACAGTGAATCAGTTTCAAGTTAGCAAGAATTAGATTCTAACTTATTGTCTGACTAACAATATTTGTCTGATCATGTCCCTAAAGTTAATATATTTAACTCGCCTATAAAGTAATGATAAGAAGTTTGCTCCTCAAAAGAAGATTGTGACACAGTTTGAAATTTAATACAAAAATAAATTTTAATTAAAAAAAAAAATCATTAATTGTGAATTTCAAAGCATTATTTTTCTCATGTCCAAGCATTTTTGAGCAACGGCACAATGACAACTTAAGTAACAGGGAAAGTAAGTACATATTGCAATCTCTTTAAATTAATGTTTGTGTATGTGTAATTACTTGTTTGTATGTGATTACCTATTTGTATATGTATACACTATTTTTTTATTTATAATATACACTAAATTAGGCATGAACTGACCTCATACAGCATAAGCAAGGAGGAATGGGTAAAGTTGGGGTCCAAGATAATACGAATGTTGTATACCACCAATACTGTATACTTTTGAATGTTAGATCAAATTTCCTTAAAGAATAGAACAAGACAATTGCGCATATTATAATTTATATCAGTGAATAATACACTGTTGTTAGATCCTTTCCTGTTTGTCAAAACACAAACACAAAAGTTGCAGTTGAAAAAGACACAAGCAGCAACTGGACTTGACAAGGTCTGCCACAAAGGCAAAACAATATTCATTTTGCTGCTCTTGTGTTTGTTAGCTATGAGAATTAAGTTTGTGTAGATTATTAAGACAAGTGTGAGAATGCACACTGATTTTACTCAAAAAAATTGACTTTGTTTCAGCTTCGTACATTTATAATGAGTGTTAAGTTGGATGTTCTGATCACCCAGTTTGTCACCAGAAAGGGAGTCGTCCACTGCTTAACCTAACATGACTCAAAAATGAGGTAAGTTATATATGTATTACTGTACTTAAAATAACCAAGAATTTTTGTGGCAGGGTGGACCTATTTTTTCAGATGTTTTGAACGTGACCCTATGTGTAAAATATATGCTGTATCATATTTTTACAGCACAAATTAATGAAACACTGCTGTTTTCAGTAATACATCTTATAACACTATGCAAGACATTACAGAATACTGTTCTTTCTAGGGAAGGAAGGGAATCTTTGATTCTAGTGTAGGGCTCTTGATTCAAGACAGTGCTTAATGATCCTTATAGGTTTAGCCCTTTTCATGAACATATAGCAATCTTATACCAAAGCATTAAAATTACTTTCCTCTTCCCTTGCATCAAATCCCTTCTGGTTTAGCATTTCCCAACAAATATATAATAGTAATTGGTGTCAGTGTTGAATGATGATGAAAGTATTTTCTTTTTGGGGATTTTCTTTTTTTTTGGGTCACCCTGCCTCGGTGGGAGACGGCCGACTTGTTGAAAAAAAAAAAATTGGTGTCAGCATTATAATTTTTTTTTTTAACACTGGCTGTCTCTTATTGAGGTAGGACGACCTGACAAAGAAAACACTTACTGTCACTGTCTTGCCAGAAGTGCACTAACATTATTGTTCGCATGACCCTCTAAACTGAACATTCCCACACCTCCATCAGAGTGTAGGCACTGTACTTCCCACCTCCAAGACTCAACTGCAACTAACCAGTTTTCCCTGAACTCCTTTATAAATAGTAATTTGAACACAAGCCCTAAGCTTATAAAACTAGGTATCTGTCTCTTAATAAATTTTGGGGAAGTACAGTAGTATAAGACTGTGGTCATTACCTGCCTCATATCAGATTTTCCTCTGTGCTAACCAAGAAGTTCAGGTCATGTGTAATCAAGTGTATACATGTGCTGTATATTTTTTCCACAATGTACTACTGAACATTCTTCTTATGTAAATATTATGCTTTTTAGGCAGAGCCTGTTATCCTGGCTTTAAAAACATTAATTACTTTGCCAAATAAGCAGAGTGTAAATTAATTGGTGTCATTATTGCAAAAATCAGTTTGTAGGTCACAAATTGAATGTTTTATTGAAGTTATATAATACAGCAGAATGTCATATATTGCATGGGTTACATTCCTGAAAACCTGGTTTTTAACATGAAATAGCAATATGTAGACTGAAAAATATGGGTGTACTATGGTTATGTTCTTGACACCTTCAAAAAAAAAGACTTTTTTTTTTTATTTTATTATTCATCAAAAATAATAGTTTTTCATTGTAGTTGGTACTTGCTGATCTGGATATGAGTGGAGAGGATTGATGTTGGCTCTGTACAAAAACCTGTACAAACAAATAGCAAGCAGTATTGCCACTGCCCGCCATCAACATTGGTAAAAAATAAGCCATATTTCCATGGCAAACTGTACCAAACATATAGGAATGTACCACACCTCTACCAAACAAACATATACTAAGCAACAAATGCATTGAGAAAGTAATAACCAAGAAAAATGCAGTAATGCTGTAATAAAATGGTGTGGAGGTGGTTGCTTATTAAAGATTATGACTCCTTGAGCTGCTAAGAGCTTGGCTTCCAGTGGTGTGGAGGATTATATTGATCAATATGCCATAAGCTGTGCTGGCTATATAACCCAAAAAACACAAGTTTTTCATGACTGTTCTGCAGTAATGGACCTGTGCTCCAGTTCCCTGAATTAAGCCTGAATGCCTCCCATCCCTTTCCCCCCTCCCAGTGCTGTATAATCCCTACTGGTTTAGTGCTCCCCATGATGATAATGTTCTGCAGTAAAGGTCATATCTTTAGTATACAACTTTCATGTTAAAAACTTTTTCACTATCAATTCCCATTTTATTTAATAACTTTATGGTGCAATTTGACTGATAACTTTTGGGTACAATGTTTTGAGTTTGAACCCTGTATGAGTTATATATGAGATTCTACTGTACGACAAAATTTAGAGATTAACCTGAATTTTGTTAATTTTAGCAAAGTGAGATAAGCTTGCTAAGTTAGCTTCAGTGAAAAATTAAAAGAAACTTTGTATCCTCATTAACTCTCAAAAAATATTTTGATGCATTACAGAAATGTTATGAAAATATCTTAAGGAAATTCAGCTTATCTGACAGACTCTACCTTAAAATATAAATGTGCTAGAGATGTTTGTGCATTTTCAGTATTATGACCAGCATGTATGTATGCATACATGCATGTATATATGTATGTATGTACTTGCTTACATATTTGTGGTTGCAGGAGTTGAGTCATAGCTCCTGGCCCTGCCTCTTCTCTGGTCACTACCAGATCCTCTCTCCCCCTTCTCCACGGGGGGCAGGAGATAGGTGGAGGCAGAGGCAGCAGCTGTATGTATGTAAAAAGCATAATCTTGTTTCAAGAGAATCGCCAAAATAGAGTAATATAAAGTAATATTAAGAACAGCGTTTTGACTCGGGCATTAATAATAATAATGCAAGTCTGTTTGAGCACTGGGAACACTGAATGTTTGAGAGATATTGGTCAACTGTATTTAGGAAACTGACACTCAAACAAGATAGATATTCATTATGTCCGTAATTTTGTATCATAAATTAAAGTGAACGATCTCACAGCTCTGTTACCGGGGTACTTGTGTTTCAATGCTTTAAACTAGCTTCCTTAGCATACTCTTCTTTGAGATGTAATTACCATTCTCAAGTTGTATTGGAATTAATGCCTATAGCTCTGATATCTTCTAAAATATTTGTATGTAGGTGAGTGTTATGATTTGTCTTCAGCCTGAGAAAATTAAGTAACTTTAGTATTCATTTGACCAAACACTATGCTATGTAATAGTTGCCATCATGAAGCCTGAAAATGAATCAAGAACAGTTTTACTGTAGATCCACATTCCAAAGCTAGTGTTAGTCTTCAATTGCTTGGTGGATATTATTCAAAATCTTTTAAATCTAAAAAAGTTGCCAAAATTTAAGTGTTTACCCAAAAATTAATAAAAATTTCTTTAACTGCATTTCTTTTATAGACAGGAATGCCTTTTAGAGTTATCAGTGTGGGCATTAACTAGTTTTTACAAAAATATCTTTTTCACCATTTTCAGACATCTTAATTTTTTATTACAAATGTCATAAAAATAACTAATAATACAATCTGTAAAATATTAATACTTGCAGAATCATGTATGTGATCCTACTCACAACCTTCCTTCCTTTCATTTAGTGGCAAAAGTTCAATTTGTGTTTGTTATTGCATCCACAAAAAGCACTAAACTCTCATGGATTACTTAGTGCATCATTTGCTTTTAAAGAGTACTTCTATGGCTGCCAAGTTTCACTACTGCAACATGAGTTATTTATTATTTAATGCTTTCATGTGCAAATTGGCTATGTGATGTAAAATGGTGGCATAAATCATCTTCTGTACTCTATGTACATAGCCTATGCCACAATCTTTATGCATGGATGTTACTCCAGCAAATCACTAAAACATGACACTTTCATTGTAGGTCATTTTTTGTAGATGGTAATAAACACTAATGTAATGATTTTGAATACTCTAAAAAGCATTCTAAATGTTTATAATCTAAATATTTCACACATTATCATCCTGCATATTCTAACGTATCAAAACGCTCTCCAAAAATGGGAACATTGTTGGCAGAATCTCTTTTGCAATCGTTAATTAAAGATGATTCATGAGTGCCATGAGAAAAAGACAGGAGGAATATGCAAGAATCACACACACAGCTTGGGTTAAAGCTTGAAGCTTTGTTGCCCAAGCCTAGTGTGATTCTTGCATATTTCTACTGTTATTGTCCCATGGCACTGATGAAGCAGCCTCGGGATTGCAAAAAACTTCTGCCATTTCCATTTCTGAAGGGTATCTTGAAATTTAGTTTCCACTTGTGAACTTTTGTCACGTTCTAATATATTTCATGCATATTACAACTGCAAGTAACTCGCTCTGCAAAAGAACATGATGAAACTATTCCTCACTAATGAACAAAACTTTTAGTTGGTTATGCATCACAGCTTTATTAATTGCCATTTAGTGACGACCATTACGATATTCATTTTCAACAGTTGTGACGGTCGGTCGGCGTGGTGGTGGTGGCTGGAACTGGTCTGAGAGTTTGGAAGTGGTGCTGCGTCGGTCCATGGAAGTGTCACTGAAGGCTAGGCTCTGCATTGATCCTCGGGGACCCTGCAAGAATTACACCAACATTAATCTTGGTTTGCTTGTGCTTTGTGTTCATTCACCATTGTTGAAAACTGTGATGTATGGTGGTTATTTGTGATATTTATTTTAATAAGGGTCATATATTGCCTGGGAATGGGAGATGATCAAGAAAGAGCAATGCCAGGCAATTTGTGACAGCATGTTGTGGAGGGTCATTACCCCAAGGGAGGGTTGTTGCCAGTAAGGGGCTCTTGATCGAAGGAAATTTACCATAGCTCCTCTTCCTTGGAGCCTGATTGCCTCCCCATTTCCAGATATTGTATGAAACCTAGGGGTAAGACATCCTTACCCTATGAATGCAATGGAAAACACATTAAGGTAAATGCAGGAAAAACCAGCAAATCATTTTGTTGGCCTTTCCTGCATTTGTTTTAGTATGTTTCCCCACCATTGTGAATTCATAAATACAAAAAATAGAAGATTTACTCTATTTCCTAAATACGTATTCACTTAACACTTCCCCAAATCTCTCTCTCTCTCTCATCTCGATTCATATCAACTGCTGGGTCTAACATACATTCATGAATGCACTGATATATGTATTAGTTATATAATTATTACAATATTGTGTAACAGTAAATCTTCTATTTTTAGGTGTGAATGAAAAATGAAAATAGAATTCACCTGTAATGCCTGAAAATGTAACTTAATAAACAGAGGAAATGCTAGTTTAGTGCCAGGAATGCCTGAATTGTTTATTCTGGACCCTATTTTGAAATTGGAATATTTTGAAATTTTTGATCACTTTATTGGGTTGTTTTTAATGCTCAGTTAATAAAATGGAGGCAATACTAGTGAAATAGCTAAGAATTTGGTCAACTGTAATTGGCCTAAAATAAGAGTAAGTGGGCAAAATCGCTGATGCAGTAAAATTCAAGAGTGTAATTTTGTAAATTTTCCATCAAATTTCATACTTTTTGTTTTACCTTCAGAAAACTATTCTCTACCATTTCATAAGTAAAAATAAAAAAAAATTTTTAATTCTTGGACAAGGCACAGAATTATGGAATGGACCCTCAAAGGGTTAAATCCATTTGCTCCTCTCCGTTGAAATTCTCACACATGTAGTTTTAAATATATTTCTTTCTTTTCTAAGTAAAATTAATATTTTTACATAAGGTGCAGAAGCAGATTTTTCTCATACGAGGATTATTATTATAAAAAAGAAGCGCTAAACCACAAGGGCTATACAGCGCTGCTCTTATACGAGGAAAAAAATATTGTAGTTGCAATGTATACTATGTTGATGATTCATCAAATCCTACTGAGGGTCCATTTAATTCTCATTTTTAGACTTTAAATATAGAATATTAATTTCTTTTTATAATTGATTTCAGTTCATATTACTCTGAACATAACATCCACAATAACATTACAGTCCATAACTTTATACTAATACTAACAAGACTTGTACCTTAGGGTATTGTCCGGTTTTGTGTCTGCGGTAGAGAACGACAGCAACCACCAGCCCAGACTAACATGGCAGAAATAACAGTAAAGATGACAGTAGCAGCAAGGTAGGGAGGTTCCAAAGCCACAGCCTCACTCACAACCTCCCTGGCTCCAGAACGCACCTCCAGGGGCGTCTCCCATCGAGGTTCTGACACTTGATGATGGAACCACGATGCACGGAGGTCAGCAGGGAGACGCTCCTCATCTACTTGCAGAGCTAGTTCACCCTTTTTCACCTGGTTAAGAAAAATATTCAATAACAAACACAACACAATGCTGAGCAGAATTAAGACCAAGATAATTACAGAAACATGGGGAAGATGACAAACATATGTGGGCAATTTACTTGAAGGCAGATACTGACAAATGCATGTTGTTTTGATACAGTTACAACTCTTCCAGTGAAAAACAGTTTACCAGTTAGACTGGAATCCACTGGTACAGTGGAACTCCCACATATTGGAATGGTGGACAACATGAATCTTCAATGACTTGCCAGCAGACAATACACTGCCTCAAAGGGGTTGGAGGAAAGTTGGGCTTCTTAGGCCTTACGCTCATCTTGAGCAACAGGAACAATGTTAAGATAGGCATAAGAATTAACAACTGGGCATATACACTGCAATGTCACTAAACTTATGACACTTGAGTTTGACTCCGATTCAGTATTGTATGACCCTGGAGGTTTAGCGCTTAGTTTTGATTAAAATGATGATAACTACTGAGTATTTCTGACTCTGTCATCAATGAAGGCTCTTGACTCTCATAATGACTAACATGCTCAATGAAGAAGCCAGATATAATACTCAAAAATCCTGGGAAAAGGAATTCACGTACGTATAACTGTTATTCCATCACACACTAGATTACGCTTTTATGATAAGGTTGATAAGTTAGCCAAAAGAAAGTACCCTGAAGGAAAACGTAGAATATAATTTGGTGTCTGTATATAGCATTAGGAATAATGTTAGGAGAAAAGTAAATAATGAAACAAGATTTTAGAAATGTAGTTAAAAGCCTGAGTAGATCTATCACTCACTATAACAATAAGAGTACATTTATGGAGCAACTTGCAATGTGAACAGACAATGTAGTAGCCAGCTTAGACTTGGTTACAAGTACTTTTGCCAGTTTGGCTGGCAGATAGATGGTGATCAAACCAAATGCAAAGTATGTGACCAGCCCACTGGTCACTATCTTGAACACTTGCTTAACTGTCCACTTGTTGAGAAATAGAGATAGGCAGTATAATAGCCTATATGATATGACATTACATCTTGTTAATGAAAAAAAGAATACTCCAGACATACTAAGCAAATTTCCTAAATCTGATAACAACAGATGAGAAAATTGTAGATATAAATCCAGATGTACTCTTATAACCCTTTTGGAGGCCTAGTTCCTAGACCTTATGTATTCATATTTCTTGGGGCTACCATTTGCAGGCTGGATATGGAGTGGCCATAAAGTAGCCCCTTCATTGGCAACATCCTAAAATCTCTAAAAGGACACCATTGTTTTTGGTTAGGGATACCCTCGAGGGTGTTTCAGGGGTTAAATGCACCCATGGTCCTGACCATGACCAGCCACAATGTAGAATAACTAGAGGGGTTGGGGTGTTATATGATTCAAAATCTATTTCGGTGCAACCATCTTAGCTGTTCAAGGGAATTTATTTCCTATCATAAATATGAGTGTTTCTACACTTCATCGTAAACACTCATAAATATATTTTTTTTTTAAACAATTCGGACCGTCCTCCCACCGAGGCAGGTGACCCAAAGGCAGAAAATCCCCAAAAAGAAAATACTTTCATCATTCAAAAACTTTCACCTCACTCACAGACATAATCACTGTTTTTGCAGAGGTGCCCAGAATACAACAGTTTAGATATATATACATATACAAATACACAATATATAATTAATTACATATATTATATTAATTATATAAATTAATGTTTTAACTGTGGAAGATATGCAATTTTAGTTACACGCGTGAGGAAATTTTGAAGAGAGAAAAAAAACAAAAAAAAATTTGAGCATATTTTTCTAAATAGAACTATGAAAAGAAAAAAATCAAAGCAAATGAAAACTAATAATTTTATGGCGTGTTGAAGTCGGTGAAAAATGATTACTACTTGGCAGCAACAGCAGTGTAAATGTGCATGGCGGTACTTGCTGTATATTTTACAATTTGACTTCAAACTATGATTTCAATTATTTTAACCCTTTCAGGGTCCAAGGCCAAAATCTGAAGTCACGCACCAGTGTCCAAGAAATTTTGAAAAAAAAAAAATTATTTTTTCTTACAGAATTAAGAGATATTTTTGTGAAGGTAATAAAACAAAAAAAATTAGAATCTGATCAGTACTTACCGAGATACAGTGCCAAGAAGTTTGTAGAAAATGATGTGGTGGCGGCAACATCACGAATCCCCCATACGCGTACTAAATTATTTTGTTGTTTAGTTGTTTTTTTTCTTTCTTTTCGCAATTTTTTCTAATTCCTACTAACAATTGGGGCCTGAGAGACCAATACTGTATATAAATTATATATAAAAACTCACTGTATTGAACACAATAACTGCAAACTAAAGTTATCATATTATTGTTTACCACTGGTTGTTTATTTAACAATAAACATGCACAAATATTGTATATACTAATGTTCCTATCATATATTTTACATATTTACAATCACTGGACATGGTTTTAGAACTGCTGAGCTGTGGAACTCCTTGAAACAAGGCACCATGCACAGAGGCACCTTACATTCCTCACACATAAACCGAGAGTCTTTGCTCTTTGTTGCCGACCGTTTTGTTTTGTGCACAGACAATCCATCTCTTTCTGAGCAAATTTCTTTTGAGTTGAAGGAAAGCTGTAATATGAAATTATCACCTTCTCTTCTCAAACGTAATTTGGTATATTGTGATGAATTCGAGACCATGTGTATGCAGGTGTTTTACCTGGTACTTCATTTGAGATTTTCTGACAACAGACAAACAAAATTCACCATACGTGGTCTGTTACCAGTCTTTAGTTGACATATATATCATTCAGCATTTGAATGTCCATGAGATGGAAGAAAGTTTTCATGTACCACTTGTAACTCTACGAACACAGTCAACAAAACCAATCTGCATGTCACACCCTTGTAACCAAGCGCATGTTTTGTGTATAATCAATCACTGTCCACTGGTTTTTGAATACCGTTCATTAGTCACTCACGATCAACTTTGCCACTGTCTTGCATTTTCATTAACGGTGAATGGATTGTCAACAATTGACATCTCCTTCGTGTGTCATGCCACCGTAATGCCATGAGTCATTGGCAGTAAAAACACCTGCACAGATCACCACGAAAACACATGCGTTGAGGCCTGGGCATATGTTTAACGATTAGAACTCACTGTGCCACACACATCTGTCTTGTTCACGAATCGCTTGAAATCACTGCGTAATGGGCTAGTGTACCAGTTATATCGGTATATAATGTATGGCCCTTTACAAGATAAGGTGCCATCATGTTTCTCACTATAACGTCACCTGATATACCCCAATAACATCATGGTATCTTTCAATGTTTTACTACCCGTGTATACAACAATATCCAATCACCAGCCACTGTCACAATCACAGAGTACAAACAGTTATTTTTATTACCAAAGGCGGTTCCTCTTGTCTCGGTATAATACGCTTTGAATGACATGCTATCTAACCTTTGAACAAATCAACGACGTCGTCAATCACAAGATCTTGAAATGGAATAAAAGTATAATCCTTGAACTTTTGTTTGAGATACGATGAAAACATTTCTAATCTTGTATAACCCCTGTCACTTCTGTCAGGCCTGGTTTTGTCAGAGAAGTGCAACATACGTAAGAGTAAGATAAACCTATGGGGGTTTCACTGGTATTATTTCCACGAAGGATGGGTACAAATTAGCCCGAACTGTGGACCAGTATGCTTTTATATTATCTTATAGACGTGAGGCATAAGCATTATTGGTTGCAAAAAGCAAATACATTTCTGCAACAGTCGTCTCTTTCCACCTGTAGTATTCTTGACTGTGGTGAAAGATCGAATTTGCCATGGTGTATCTGAAAAATACTTATTACTTACCCTGACAATAGTTTCCATCAATGGCTGGTCAAAGAATAATTCAAAGAATTCCCAGTTCATTGGCCGGTTCCAAGGACAGGTAGGTAAATTCCACTTTGCGAGTCATCAAGGGTGAGGGCTGGAAACAAAATTGGGATTTTGCTGCCAATCCCAGATACGGTTTGCTGGTGGATACTGGACCTCATAGGCTGGTTGTACGGGTGTTGAGGCGGGCCTGGTGGGTGACCTCCGCTTGTCCTTGAACTGACGAGGTCCAGCAAGCGTGGGTCCCGCGGCACAGCGAGGCACGCATGGCGGTGCCACTACCACCACCAGCCCCACTAACACCATCCACTGATGTCCTGTGCCCATCCATGCCAAGTGTAGCCAATCATCCTCATATCACTACCCTAAAACAGGTGTAGGGCCACGGGATGTACTCCGGGATGTACTACGGGATGTACTCCGTCCCCTGGGCATAGCATAGGGTACACTACCCGAGCGCAGGCGGTCGGCGCACATACCGACGCTGTTCACTGGTGAATATGTTTCCTCACTATCACTACCGAATGTCGTCGAGCGTCAATAAAATCACAATCCACTTCAGAATCACGTCATTACTGAAGTCAGAGGCCAGGCCCACGGAAAATATTAGTTTTTCGCTTACGTTTTAGGAACAACCGACCGTGAGTCACGAGTGCCCACCCAGAGGTAGAAGGTCTGAGGATCGTCGGGGGTATTCTGCACCTATTATCGATATCCTGGTCATTATTTTCGGTCACTAACTCGTCAAAGCCGTAGAATTCGTCTTCATTTTCCAATTCCATCATGTCAGAACTATCAGACGGAAAGGAGAGTCCCAATTTTCCGGGGAGTCAGAGCTGACTTGCGACGAGACATGGTGAACAAGGGTGACAGAGCCGGCGTCCCACAATGCAATGCAGGCGCCTAGATTTTTGTTTACGGCGCACACCCATCCACCGCGCAGATAACCCATTTCTCTCATATGTAGGCCTATGAGCGCTTTCGCGCTAAATTTGACGGCGCTAGAATTTTGGCGTAGATCTACGGGACGGACCCTGAAAGGGTTAATGTCTAACACTAGTTTTGTGTACAAAGAAAAATTATTTTTTCCAATGGTCTCAAGGGACACAGAAGAAACAGGCACAAAAAAAAAAAAAAAATGCCATGTAGATTTGATTTAGGATAACCCAGGAGAGTCGAACAATGGGACTTACTGACCCATCAGTTATTGCAATTTTGCTAACTTTCATTCCCACTGTAAGTAACAAATTTTATAAATTCAGAACAATATGGCAGCTACGCCAGTTTCCACACTCTGTTTTCTGATGTAGCTGTCAACTTTCAAACACTCTGCATGTGTGTGTGTGTTTTGCTAAAGCAGTTTGTCAATGATCTCTGTGTGGTGCTACTGAGACAACAAATTTTTCTCATAGGTGTACGATGGAAGTGTGTAGCCCAAACAGTTAGACCAGGCCTAAAGTTCGAGTGTATGGCCATATCTACATAATAAAAATTAAAATACAGTCCTCTCCTCACTTAGCATGTACTTATTTACCGACAACTCGGAACATATGAGGGTTCTCTTAACAAGTATGCATACTAAATACGTAATTTGAGCTGATTCCTCTATTTTGTTTATTACAATATACAGTACACTACTAAATAAACATTTAAAAATATAATGAAGATAGGTTATAAATGGTGCAAAGATGACATTAAAACAATACAAGATGGTTGATTACAAACCCACCACCATTATGTATAGCTCCTTGCTTAGCGATGAATTCATTTACCAATGTGGTCTTAGGAAGAACGGAAATCTGTCGTTAAGTGAGGAGAGGCTGTATACTGTATATTATGGTCCTTCTCAATGGGGAAATGGAGAGGATCCTTTCCTCCTAAGCCATGTGTGTCATAAAAAAAGAGGTGGGATACAGCCATGTGTTTGAAAGAAAGAAGAAACGAGGAAAAGCTGCCGACCTATGCCCAAACTAGCAGGTCCTTCTCAAACCCAGCCCACTAACAAAAATATCTGCTCCACCTATTTTTCAGTGTTACCCAATTAATACGTTTTGATAATCCTATAACTATTAACCCTATTCAATCTTAAATTCAATAAATCAATTAGTACAAAGATGAATCACTGATGTTTTAATGCATTTTATTCATAAAAAAAGTTAATTTAATACAAACTGTGGAAGACTACTATATATAAATTAAAAACACTGATGTAAAGTGTTGTTACGATATGTTAATCAAGATATTCTTGAAGTAAATAATCTGAAGTATTCAAAGTGAAAACCTTGTATATAGGTACAGTGGAACCCCCGGTTAACGATTAATTTTCACTCCAGAATATGTTCAGGTGCCAGTACTGACCGAATATGTTCCCATAAGAAATATTGTGAAGTAGATAGTCCATTTCAGACCCCATGACATACACTACAAATCTACATACATAAATACACTACATAATTGGTTCACATACGAGGTAATCGATATGCGGGGGTCCACTGTATTTTACTTTGCTATATTACATTTCTTCCAGCTGGTAAATGATCATCGATCTTTGTTATTGCCAAGAATGTGAACTTGACCTGTAGTGAGGTCAGGAAGGTCGACGACAGCTACCCACTTCATTTCTAAAGTCTCAGCATACAATTTGTTTCAAAGGGTATATCACCTGGAAAAAACCCAAATATCGCTTCCCTGATACATTAGCCTATCTTTTTCTTTTATTCCTTAATGGCCACCTTCTACCAAGACAGGATGACCCAATAAAATGGAACACACATTCACTATCATTATTCAATTAGTGTATTCTGATAGTGTGCTGACATCACAATCATTCAATCCTCTGACTGGCAATATCTCCCCACCCCTTCCCAGAGTGAAGGCCACTGCCCTTCCCACCTCCAAAATAAATCAGCTAACCATTCTTTCCCTACCCCCCCCCCCAAGTCCCCTTAAATGTTACCTTCCTTACACTCCCAACAGCACATTTATTAACCCCTAGGCTGTCTGTCATGTACATTGTCCGACAGGGTCTATGGCGTGATGTTATTAGCATGTCACTGTTATCAAGCGCCTTTAAATTTCTAGGAGTGGCAAATTTTGGTTTACCAACAGGAGAGAATGGATCTGTACAGTGGGTGTCCTGCCCCCACATAGTGCATTCTAGGAACAGCTAACTTCTGACCCTGTGTATGGAGTTAACAATTAGCTATTGTTAGTTGTATTTCTAGGTGTCAATAGATAGCTAGTAGACATACTAATGAAAGGACAAACGTTTTGGGTTGATTTAAACTGCATGAACTGGAAGAGTTTGTCAAACTGGCAAGAAAGGTGATTTGTGTATTTTACCAAGGGGAGAAGGTTGGTTCCCTTGTCTGTTTTAAGTCCATTTTTTTTTTTACTAGGGTAACTTCAATACTGTGACTGACTAAATCATGACCAAGAATTCTTGGTCAAGGTTTTATTAGCCTAGAAATAGGGAAAAATGTTGATTTTTAAAAAATAATTTCAAGTGGGCAAAATCGCTGTAGGAAAAATTCTCGCTGTCCTTTTAACTTCATGTCTCTTATTCCATATGTAACCGCATTCAATTTTTCTATTTTTGTGTCCATTACATCCGAAAACATTCCCTATACTATTTGAGAAGATACTATTTTAATTCTAATACAGAAAGGGCAATTTAATTTGGGGCTTCCCAATATTTTATGGGTTAAAAAATTAACTTGTTTTCCAATGGACTTGATTTTTTTCTTTTTTATTCTAACACATCGGCCCATCTCCCCACCAAGGCAGGTGACCCGAAAAAGAAGAACGACTTTCAATCAACATTCACTTCTTGCCAAGGCAATGTCTATCCTACAGTTTTAAAACAAAAACTGCAACATATCAACACCCCTCCTTCAGAGTGCAGGCACTGTACTTCCCACTTCCAGAACTCGAGTCTGGCCTGCCGTTTCCCTGAATCCCTTTATAAATGTTACCCTGCTCACACTCCAACTCCTTTCTGTCTATTATAAGAATTTAATATAAATCTTTTATGGCATTTTACTACTTATAAATTCATGAAAAATTTTCTTAAAATTTTTCAATATAATTTCATTTGTTATTAGTACTCAAGAAGGAATGTTTCACAAAACCCAAGAAAAATATGAAATATTATTCAAAACACTGAGTGAAATTTTACCAATGGAACTGATTGACCATCTTAAACTATTTCTCCAAGGTTGGACGGACTCATTTCATAATTACCTTGCCACTACTGCTGCCTACAGTACATTCTCTTCTGTATTTGACTGATAAGGCCTACCGTGTAGGCAAAATATTTCCACAATAAAGATACCCAACTGTTGCACATGTGTCTTAATCATTAACTTTTTGGTTTTATACCATTTTCAACATATTAATAAACCTGGCAATATCATTCCATTATCATTTACATTCAATATAATTTCCCTGTGCATAGTTTCCAGTCATTGTTTCAGTAGCCACAGCTACCTGAGAGGAGTCCTTAAACACGAGCTAGTGTGGCAGCCAATGTTAATTCAAGCATTTTAAGTCTCTTAACCCTGATTAAACAAAAATCACAACTATTATTCATTCACTCAACATATTTTCCATTCATCACTATATCACAAGTTGCTGCATACCTCAACTGTTTTTTCCATTTATTAAGTACATACTGTACAAAGTCCTATTTACATCATCTCTCTCTCCTGCAATGGCAGAAATCAATTAAACTAATATTAATGACAATAACATTAGATAAGGTATTCTCACCATAATTAATTTTCTTACAAAAGCTACATATAAATGTCTAACAAACCTTCACTAAATTAATATAATCACTGGGAAGTGCTAAACATGTGAGGGCCACACAGTGCATGGGAAATGGGAAGCAATCAACTGTGATCTAGTGAGGAGAGGGAAATGCCAATTTTTTGGGTCAAAAGCCCTTCACCAGCATCAAGACACCTTAAAGGGCAACCTTTATTAAAATTAAATATATTGTATACTATCTCTGAATAAAGCTTATATATTTATTATACAAGTCCTTTACTAAATACTTTCTGATCTATCACTGTCTGCCAAAACTCAGTATTGTGTATGATTTAAAATTAGTGTTGCCCTGTTCCAATCCAGTTCAGACAATGGTAAAGAAATTAATAATGGTGAATCTTCATTAGTGATTCTGTTTATGAGCTGCAAATTCTGATTCTCATTATCTTAACATACCTGATCACGTATTTCTTTGCCTTTAGCTTTGCCAAGATGCTTTACGCCAGCTTCACGTCCACGGAAGCCCAATGTTACCACCACCGATTCTACTGCCACTGGATCTGTTAATGCAGTGCATGTATATTACCACAACAATGATAATGTAAAGTAAAAGGACACAAGTGCAACTAATTTGGCATTTTATTGTGGCAACGTTTTGCTCTCCAGGAGATTTATCAAGCTGTTACAAACAATACATGGACACAGAGGGTATATATAGGCTCAGAGTGAGGTGTAATACTAGTGGTAGTAGTAGTAACATAAGTTGTAATAGTAGTAGTAATACAATACAGTAGAACAGTCAATTTGCAAATGAGCAAAAGGTTTTAAAAGCTATTACTTGGGTAACATAAAAATAGGTTAGACAAATATTTCTGTTGGTTCATTCTCTGTTGTGTTCTTGTGTTGCAGAGACTATTTACTGTTTTGAGGAGGATTTTTGCTATTATTTCAGAGATGATGAAACTGCCTTTATTTTGCTTGATTGTGTTAGAAACAGCAATTAATGATGATTCAAGGCATTTACATCTGCAGAAATTTGGCTATCTAATTACTAGTCGGGCATTGTTGAATCTCATGAGGTGATTGGTGGAATTCCAGTGTTGTACACAGGCGTTGTTCAAGTTATCATTCGTACATGCGTTAATGTGTTCATTGAGGCGTTTTTTTAAGGTTCCAAGGGGCTTTTCACCTGCATATATCTTGTCACAGCCTCCACAAGGTATAGTGTAAACTCCTGCATTGACTGGTTCATGGTGGTTCGATTTTGTCCTGTCAGACCCCTTATGGAAGTGCTGGATGCGTCTGGCCAGGACAAAATCGAACCACCCCCCCCGCCCAAGAACCCAATCAATGCAGAGTTTACCACTATTTCCCTTGTGGAGGCTGGACAAATATATATGTAGGTGAAACAGCTAGGAACCACCTCGAAACATGCTCCTAACACATTAACGCATGTAGGAAAGATAACTTGAACATACGCCTGTGTACAATACCGAAGTAATTAGCAAAAATCACCAACAAAATAGTAAACCCTGCATCACATAGTCCTTCTACACAAGAACACAACAGAGAAGGAACCACTGAAACAGACCACTCAGATCCAACCCACCAACAGAAATAATTGTCCTAACCCTATTTTTATTTTACCTCAAGTAATAGCTTTCCAAATAACCTTTTACTCATGTGCAAGTTGACTGTTCAATGCCGAATTGTATTATACTACTATAAAACTATGTTACTACAACTACTACTACTACATATTACACCTCCTCTGACCTATATATACCCTGCAGTGTCCCATGTATTATTTGTACGGCTTGATAAAGCTCTCTGGAGAGCGAAACGATGCCCCACAATAAAATGCACATTATTGCACTTCTGTCCCTATTCCTTAACATACTGTCCGATAATTCCTACCAACATTTATTACAACATGTATGAGAGGTGAGAGTGGTGATGAAGATGAAATGTATTTTCTTTTTGGGGATTTTCTTTTTTTTAGAGGTCACACTGCCTCGGTGGGAGACAACTGAAGTATTGGAAAAAAAAAAATGGATTTAGGTCATTTATGACAGCATTATATATCTAATGTGTGTCAAATTCTTCTTCAAAGACAGAATGATGGGATTTGTCATAATAATAGCTAATAAAAATTTAAAGAGAGAACAAGGGCTTAAGAAATCGTAATGACACGATTGCAAACAAACCGTACCCCCGGCCGGGATTGAACCCGCAACGGGCTGGAGTTTTGAGACTCTATGACCGCGGGTTCAATCCCGGCCGGGGGTATGGTTAGAGAACAAGGGGCTTGTAACCCCTTCTCCTGTATATATTACTAAATGAAAAAAAAAGAAATTTCTGTTTTCCTTTTTCCACTCACCCTGCCTCAGTGAAAGACAGCTGGTGTGATAATTTTTTTTTTTTAAACATTATGAAATATTTAATCTTATCTGAAGTATGCTAACCCTTAAACTGTCCAAATGTAGATCTATGTTTGTACTGCTAGTGCTCCAAATGCAGATCTACATTTTATTTTCCTGCCTCCAAATTTGGCATAGAATGGGTCTTAATACTCGGTCTGTGCAGTATTAAAAAAAATCTGGGACCACTTAATACCTTGTGGAAGCACCAGTTCAATTGAATGCCAGCTAGAGCAAACAGCATGACAAACACCAGGGATTCACTGATGTCATATCGTATTAACACTTTCCTTTTAAGAAGAAAGTGGGGAAGTGGCCACAAGTGGTTGGGGAAAAATATAAAAAAACCTCGTTAATACCCATGTGTAACATTTGTGCAAAATCCTTTATTTTTGATAAAAAGGGTATTGTCATCCTGTTTGGAATGTCCTTAATCTATTTCCTATGAAAAGAAAATGAATCTGGAACATGAAATAACACATATTTGCCTGGGTTGGCTGGCGGGGCTTTGGCTTCTCTCTGTCTGTATTGTCTTGTCTCTACTCCCCTCTCTCTTTCACGTTTACACATAATTTACATTTTATTATACATATTTAAAATTTACCTAGGAAAACCCCAAAAAATTTCCCGGGAAAAGGGGCCTTTTCAGTGCTCGTGGGATTTTAAGACTAAAAAGAAAAAGTTTTGGCAAGAAATATAAATTTTTACTTCATCGGGAAAATCGGGAGGGGGCAACTGTTTTTGTGTGTAATACCTTTGGTTTACAAGCCACTCTCGAGCTGGAAAACAAGCAGAGGGAAAAAGACACATTACAAAAGGCAAACAGAAAGACACAAAACCCACAGGCAGAAGAAAGTTAAACACACCCACAGACAAAAAAAACAGATACACACAGGAAAGGGGAGAAAGACACACAGGGGGCGGGAAAAAAGGAAAAAACCACACGGGCAGAAAGAAACAGATAACAGAGCTAGACAGAAAAGATGATGACATTTGAAAACAAATAAAGCCATTTTTCCCCTTTCGCAGGGGGGAGGGGATAAAGTTCACTCCTCCTTTCCCCCACTGTCACAGTTAAATTTGACATTTCATCAAAAACACCATGCTTCAAGGATTTTTCATAAAAACCCCAAAGCATGTCAAAAAACTTTGCAGAGACCAAAAAATTACTTTGTACAGTCCCCCCCCGGTTAACAATATTTTTTCACTTCAGAAGTATGTTCAGTGCCAGTACTGACAGAAATTTTTTCCCCTAAGGGAAAATTGTGAAAATAAATTTGTCCATTTCAACCCCCAAACATACACTACAAAAAACCCCCTTAATAAATACACTTACAAAATTGGTTTGCATTCGGAAAGGGGATCGTTTTTAAGGGGGGGCCCCTGTTTTATATATTTCAGACAATAGTAAATTTACCAAAAGGGAGGGGAAAAGTTCACCTGTCAGTGTGATTGTGATATTTGAGTACAAATTTTAGTCCCCCAAATTAGTGTCAGGGAAAAAAGATTGGCTATGAAAAACACAAGAATTATTAAAATTTTTTTTTTTTTATTTTTTTAAAAACCCCCCGTTCCCACCGGCAGGGTGGCCCCAAAAAAAAAAAAATTTTCCCCAAAAACCGAAATTCTTCCATCCTTCATTAAACCCCCTTTCACCCCTCCACAAATTACACTGTTTTTGCCAAAAAGGGAAATGCCATTTACCCCTTCAACAAATTTTTGGCTACACTTAAAAGGCACCAATTAAAAACCTTTTTCCCAAAAAAATCCCAAACCCCTCCAAAGGGGGCAGGGGTGTAATTTCCCCCCCCCGCACCAAAACCCCTTTAAAATAAAACCCTTTCCCCCCCCCGTTTCCCTTCCCCTAAAATTACCCCGCCCCACTTAACAGTTTTGTCCCTTTTCCCTACATTTCCCCCATTTAAAAACCCCTCCCGCTCCCCCCGGGGGGGTGACCCAAAAAAAAAACCCCGAAAAACCTCCTTTACCCCCTCTCTCCAACCCTTTCGAGGACGACCCCTACCCCGCCTTCCTTCCCCTATAGATTTATATGCTTTCCATGTCATTTTATTTTGATCCATTCTCTCTAAATGACCAAACCACCTCAACACCCCCCTTCTGCCCTCTGACTAATACTTTTATTAACTCCACACCTTTGCCTAATTTCCACACTCCCGAATTTTCTGCATAATTATTTACATCACACATTCCCCTTTAAAACAGGCATCTCCACTGCCTCCAACCGTCTCCTCGCTGCTGCATTTCCCACCCAAGCTTCACACCCATATAAGAGTGTGGACTGCTATACTTCATACATCCCTTCTTTGCCTCCATAAAATAACGTTTTTTTTACTCCACATAACCTCAACGCACCACTCAACCTTTTTTCCCTCATCCCAAATTTTATGATTAACCTCATCCTTTATAAAACCATCCGCCGACACGTCAACTCCCAAGTATCCCGAAAAAATTCACTTCTTCCATACTCCCCCTCCCCCAATTTGATATCCAATTTTTCTTTATTAAATCATTTGAAACCCCCCCACACCTTACTCTTTTCTAATGTTCACTTTCAACTTTCTAAACCCTTTTCACCACTCCCAAACTCATCCACTAACCTTTGCAATTTTTCTTTAGAATCTCCCATAAGCACAGTATCATCAGCAAAAAGTAACTGTGTCCAATTTCCATTTGAATTTGATTCCCCCAAATTTTAATCCCACCCCTCTTTTCCCGAACACCAGCATTTACTTCCTTTACAACCCCATCTATAAATATATTAAAAAAACCATGGTGACATTTCACATCCCTGTCTAAGACCCACTTTTACATAAAAATTATTTAAAATTAAAATAAAAATGAAAAAAAAAGGTATATCATCAACACTTCTGCAAGTGGCAGACTTGATGTTGCCGTCAGGTGAGCATCCAGTGCCAACTTCGTGGGCTTATATCTCGGTCCTAACTTTTTTTTGTCTTATTACACACAGAAAATGGCCCTCTTTAAATTTAAAAAAAAAAAAAAAAAGATTTTTTTTCAAAATATTCAGAGCGCTGAGCGAGTGAAAAATAGATCTACATTTGGACAGTTTAAGGGTTAATACATTACAAGTTCTCCATATTTGTCAGCAAAGGATAACTAAGCATCAGTTTAACTAATAACATACCACAATCCCTCTCGCCACGGGTTAAAATAGACAGTAGGTTGAGTCTTGTGCCCTGTTCATCCACACACCAGCACTTTGGGTCATCTGTGAAGCCCTGCTCATCACTGGATGGTGTGTAAAAACTGTGTGGGGGGTGAATCGACCCTCTTCATCACACTGCGCTACATATTTCATTGAGTTATTTTCCTGAAGGTGTCGCTGGAGAAGTTGGCAGCGTGTCAGAGTTGGTTCTCCCTCCAGATAAATAGTCACAGGGCCACTGTTCTTGCTGAGTTCATCTGAGTCTTCCTCAGTGCTGTTAATGTTGTCTTCTTCATTTTTGTCATTGTCGTTGCTACTGGACTCCTGCTGTACAGCAAAGATGCAGGTTTAAAACACCCTGCTAAGCAAAGTTTGCCAAAAAATCATAAATTCAATCATGATTTTAATTTTATATTTTTTCTTCAAGAAATGGCTTAAGCAAATAATTAAAAGACAGACTGATATCAAGGTGCAGAATAATAAATGAACTTTGCTGTTGTGGAAATTAATATTAGTATCACTATAATCACATTAGTTGAGCTTAATCCCATGTTATATTCTTAATATGTATTACCAAAATGAAGGATTTTGCAGATTCCACTGGCTACCTGTCCTCCCTGAGGCAATTAGAAATTGTTGCTAACAGGTAAACACAAAAAATAGTCATATAAAATATATTAACCAGTTTTGAAAAGATATACCTCCTCAAAAGTGAAAGCCAAGCGTGTTTTTGGAGGTTCTGTTGGAGAAAGACACTGAAGAGGATTTCCCTGGTCATCAACAAAGTTTGCAGTGCAAGTACAAGGGTCTGTTACACATATGGCCTCTGGGTGACCATGACATGTCTGACTAAAACATGCCTTAGCCCGGGAACATGGCATAGGTTCCATGCTGGCTGCTGACCAGTATGGACACAACACTAAATCTGAGGAGGCAACACAGTGTTCAATGAAGTAAAAATGTTTGAACTTGTTTAATAAACAGAAGAATGCAAAAAAATTATACAGTGGACCCTCGGTTATTGGCCGTTCCTGATATCGGCCAATTCGGATTTCGGCCGCTTTTTTGGCTGAAATTCTATCCCGGTTTTCGGCCGTCATTTCAGAGACTGGCCGTATTGGATGCATAATAATAATCACTCTTGGGCACATTAAATGTCTTATTTTAGGTTAATATAGACATTTTCATTAATCCATCTATGATATTTCTTCAAAATTACATAAGAAACACATTACATAATATATAAAAACATGCAATGTTTATGTGCGATGTATGTTTAATAATAATCACTCTTGGGCACTTTAAATGTCTTATTTTAGGCTAATACAGACATTTTCAATAATCCATCTATGATATTTTCTTCAAAATTATATAAGAAACACATTACATAGCATAAAGCATATAAACATGCAATACTTATATGCTATCGAGTGGCGAGTACTGGCGAATCAAGGAGGAAGGAGGGTGGAGGGGAAACATTACGTTTTCTTTGATTCAGCATTAGAGAAAACTGTGAATCTGGTGTCTGGTCCAGTCACCGCCCTTCATAAGTGTTTGTTTACAATTCTCGGCAGGAATTATTCATTACTTCTCCCTTTGTTTATGATGTCATCTAAAGGTAGTTATTGGAAACGATTAAACTCAGTGAACATGGTATGCTGACGCAAAAATATGGCTGTGTAGTGTTATAATATGGCTATGTAGTGTAGCCCAGGTGGTCTACATACGTGTACCTACATCTACCGGCTACCCACGCTGAATTCCTACAAATAAATACTACTCACCTCTCACCCACATTAAGACTACAAATATTTTAAGGTAAGTAATGAATGTACTGTGGCAGTTAAAGACAAAGAAGAGAAGTAACCCTAGATAGGGCTTTGATACCTGAAGTCCTTATGGAGGGGGATTCCCAACTCCCTCTCCCTTCCTCGCCTTCAATATGCCAACAAGAGTCTTCAATAAAGGTATGTAATGTTCATTTATTATTAAAATTTGTGCTTTATATTTATTTCTCATTGTTTTGTGTATGTAAAACTAAAGTTATTCTTTATAAAATGTATTTTTTGTTGATACTTTTGGGTGTCTGAAACGGATTAATTGGATTTACATTGTTTCTTATGGGAAATATTATTTTGGTTTTTGGCCTTTTCGGATTTAGGCAGACCTTCTGGAATGGATTGCGGCCAATAACCGAGGGTCCACTGTATTCATAAAAGTTTGGTCTATAACTATTATACAGGAAAATACATCTCTAAAAATGTATAAAAGCTTAGTAATAGCTAATAGAAGAATACTCCAGTTTTTATCATAGATAAAACATTGCTAGCTACAATTTACTGCTATCAAGGGAAAAGGAAGAATTTTTTAGGAAGAGATGGAAAAATATTATGAAGAAAAAGGATTCAAGATACAGACACACCTACATTATCTCCTCACACAGAATTCCCACAAAATATCTCTCATAATTATTGATAGGCCAACAGACCAATGCCCTCAAATTATGTACTAACATTATTAAAACAGTGAAAGAAACCTAAAAGTAAAAAAAAATCCCACCATAATAAAATAAAAATATGTATGAAGACAATAACTTTCTAAACATGTTGACCTCTGCAACACATTGTCCTTGGATAACCAAACAAATCACAAAACTAGGGCTAATTATTTTTGAGTAAAAATAATTTTTACTGGTGATGAGGCAGCATTACTCACTGGGGCAGCGGGCTTCACATCTACTCTTGCTCTTGAAGTTGTTACCATTACCACCACAACCACTGTAGAGGAAAGGTTCACACTTCCTGGTCTCAGTGTTGTAGTACCAACGAGCTTCACCTCCAGAGCACACACCTGCCTGAACTGGCTGACTGCAGATATCTAGAAGAGTAACAACACAGTCACTATCCTGAAAATATGCATCTGAATTTTTGACTAAAGACTCTCATGTTTTATAATTTCAGCTGATACTTTATTCTAATGAGGACAGTAACCTCTTCTGTACAAATTACTAAATGTAAAAAGAAAAATTTTGATTAATCTTTTTTTTTAGGTTACTCTGCCTCAGTGGGAGACAGTTGGTGTGTTAAAAACAGTTTAATACTAAAAAAGTTCCAGGAGAAGTTAATTATCCTACTCAGCTTTTCTTACTGACCCTGTTTGCTTTATCTTAAAAATATGTACAAATGCTCCTCACTTTACAAAAGTCCGACTTACATTTTGACTTTACGACTGGACAATAGCACCATCGTAAAGTCAAAATATCACCATCATACAGTACTGTACATTTATTTATAAGATTAACTTATATTCATTTATTTACTTTTCAATACTTGTATGTATTTAGTAGTTACAGTAATTGTTTATTTACTTATTCAGTAACAGTACTTAATCATCTACTTATTTATTTATCATATATTCACATCTGAATTATTATGGATTTATTGGAACATAACCCAATTGTAAGTCAAGAAATACCTATATAAAACTTGACCACTCTTCACCTGGATTTTGACATTCCTCCTGACACTCTTCCATAGTATTGAAATTATTGTCATTGCCAAGACACCCGCCAAAGATGAACTCCTGGCACTGGTCAGCTGTGGCATTGTAGAAATAGCGTTTGAAGGAGGCACGACACATGCCCCTCGCTAAGGGCTGGGAGCAGCGACCTTCACAGTGAACTTTTTCCCCACTTGCACTAGAATGGAAAGTTATTATGACAAACTAAGTAATCTCAGCTGAATGGCATACTAGTAGCTAATAGTACTGTAGCTTGAAATAGAGTTCAGTGTGGCAGAAATATTAAATTTTTGGTAACTTTCCTGAGGAAGGGCAGGGCTTTCCCTAGCCCCCATGATATGTTTCAAGGGTTTTTACTAGGTCTGCTTTAATCACTGGGATGGCCTAAACCATGACAAATCATTCTGGGTTATATTATCAAAAAAACAGAAAACATAGAAATACTGCAGGTTTTGAACTAGTATTGGCATGCCTCTGACAAGACAGTGATGGAGTGAGTGATGATGAAAATGCTTTTTCTTTCTTTTGGGTCACCCTGCCTTTGTGGAAAACAGCCAATGTGGTAAAAAAAATAAGATTCACAGTAATTAGGTTCCATTATATGCAGAGTAAATGCTTATTAACAGGTCTTTATAAACTACATTTTAAAACATTTACCTAATAAAAATGAAAAATTATAATGCATATCAAAGAAGGCTTTAGTTTGAGTATAACCCTTTCACTGTTGGTGCCGTATAGATACGTCTCAGGCCAGTCTTGGTAACGCATTAATACAGGTCTCCCTCAACATTCACGTTTTCAGCTTTCGCAGGCTTCACACATTCGCAAATTCCCAGCCGCCAAATCATATTCAAGTTTCCCGCCACCTGCGAGTCCCTACTACCCTCCCACCGACCCCCGCAACTGGCAGCCAGCCTTCCCACCACTCAGTGTGGTGAGTGTTTTGTTTGTTCATTATTTGCTATTAAACTACAGTATAAATAATGTAAACCCATTCATGACTGTATATTGGAATGGCTATTTGGACAGGTACTAGACGGTGACATCATGTGTTTACTCTTGAACACAGCAAAGAATCAAACATTTCTGCTACTGCTAATAATAACAATAATAATAACAATAATAATAATAATAATAATAATAATAATAATAATAATAATAATAATAATAATAATAAATACGATATAATTGAAGAAGGAAGTTGTACAAAAATACGAGGGAGTGGTTGACACATCGTCAGTGTGGCTTTGTTTATGCTGGAGTGAGCATTAGTCTCCCTGCTCTTCCAAACATTTCACAATAATTCGTTGTGTTTGGTGCTTGTAGACTGAGTGCGACTGGAGTGGTAGAGGCAGTGGTTGAGGCAGCGATTGAGGCAGCTGTTAAGGCAGCGATTGAGGCAGTGGTTGAGGCAGCTGTTGAGGCAGCTGTTGAGGCAGCTGTTGAGGCAGCGATTGAGGCAGTGATTGAGGCAGTGGATGAGGCAGCTGTTGAGGCTGCTGTTGAGGCAGCGATTGAGGCAGTGGTTGAGGCAGCTGTTGAGGCAGCGATTGAGGCAGTGGGTGAGGCAGCTGTTGAGGCAGCGACTGAGGCAGTGGTTGAGGCAGCTGTTGAGGCAGCGAGTGAGGCAGTGGGTGAGGCAGCTGTTGAGGCAGTGACTGAGGCAGTGGGTGAGGCAGCTGTTGAGGAAGCGACTGAGGCAGTGGTTGAGGCAGCTGTTGGGGAAGCGATTGAGGCAGTGGGTGAGGCAGCTGTTGAGGAAGCGATTGAGGCAGTGGGTGAGGCAGCTGTTGAGGAAGCGATTGAGGCAGTGGGTGAGGCAGCTGTTGAGGAAGCGATTGAGGCAGTGGTTGAGGCAGCGGTTGAGGCAGTGGTATTTAATAACATACATGTTATTAATAATAATAATACATGTTATTAATAATATGTACTATTATTATTTATAACATATATGTTATTAAATACCACTGCCTCAACTGCTGAATTATTGTGAAATGTTTGGAAGAACAGGGAGTCTAATGCTCACTCCAGCATAAACAAAGCCACACTGACGATGTGTCAACCACTCCCTTGTATTTTTGTACAATTTCCTTCTTCAATTATATCGTATTATTATTATTATTATTATTATTATTATTATTATTATTATTACTATTGTTATTATTAGCAGTAGCAGAAATGTTTGATTCTTTGCTGTGTTCAAGAGTAAACACATGATGTCACCGTCCAATACCTGTCCGAATAGCCATTCCAATATGCAGTCATGAATGGATTTACATTATTTATACTGTAGTTTAATAGCAAATAATGAACAAACAAAACACTCACCACACTGACTGGTGGGAGGGCTGGCTGCCAGTTGCGGGGGTCGGAGGGAGGGTAGTAGGAACTCGCAGTGGTTGAGGAAGTGGTGGAGGCATTGGTGGAGGCAGTGGTGGAGTCTGTGGTATTTAATAACATACATGTTATTAAAGCATAGCATGTATATATTTATTACAATTTACGACGTTTTCATGTATATTTATGATTGTTCATGGTTCAACAAGTTAAGGAAGCAGTATTGTATTGTATTTCCCTACAATATATTGGGGCACCAAACATTCACGGTTTTTCAACATTTGCGAGGCTCTTGATCCCCTAACCCTCGCGAATGTTGAGGGAGACCTGTACACCAAAATTCTAGTGGCTTCAAATCTAGCGGGAGAAAGCTGGTAGGCCTACATGTGAGAGAATGGGTCTGCATAGTCAGAGTGCACAATATAAAAAAAATCAGGGAGCCAGTGGTGCATTGTGGGAATGCCATTTCAGTAGTCCTTGTTCAGGATGTCTAGCGGTAAGTGATAGCTCTAACATAGATGGAAGTGTCAGTGAAGATGAATTTCATGGTTTTGAGATGTTTGTGACCAAAAGAAATGCCCAGGAAACCAGAAGGAAGGAAGGAAGAAATGAGAGGAAGGAAGAAAGGAAGTACGATCCAGACGACTATCAACCTAGGATAACCCAAAAAAGTCAGACAATGTGCCTTATTTCCTGTGGGTGGTGGAGAAAACACCATGCTTGTTGGGGAAGATGGTGTGGGTAATGCATCACTGTGGCACCAGCCACACTGCTCTCAGCACATCCATAACAAAGGAGGCCACCCACACACACCAACCTTCCAGAAGCTGTAGCAGTTCTAGGAATGTGTCCAGTGACTATATGTGTATATATATTACAGAACAATAGTAATAAACAACTTTTTTTTATTGTTGGTTTGTGTAAGCACATTTTGTAAACATTATAATGATAACAATGTTTGTGCGAATATTGTTACATACGAGTGGATATACATACATTATACATTATATTGGTTTCAGAGGCCACAAAAGTTACTTGAAAAAATAAAATATTAAAAAATAAAAGAAAAAGTAGAATAAAGGTGGGAGACGAACGACTTGTTGAAAAAAAAAAAAAAAAGTAAAAATAATATTACCGAGTGAGTGGCAGTCACCGATGTTGCCATAAGTGGTTCACTTTCTGTTAACTTCATGCCTCTATATCTCGGTAAGTAGTGATCATTTTTTTATTTTTTTTTATTATCACACTGGCCGATTCCCACCAAGGCAGGGTGGCCCGAAAAAGAAAAACTTTCACCATCATTCACTCCATCACTGTCTTGCCAGAAGGGTGCTTTACACTACAGTTTTTAAACTGCAACATTAACACCCCTCCTTCAGAGTGCAGGCACTGTACTTCCCATCTCCAGGACTCAAGTCCGGCCTGCCAGTTTCCCTGAACCCCTTCATAAATGTTACTTTGCTCGCACTCCAACAGCACGTCAAGTATTAAAAACCATTTGTCTCCATTCACTCCTATTAAACACGCTCACGCATGCCTGCTGGAAGTCCAAGCCCCTCGCACACAAAACCTCCTTTACCCCCTCCCTCCAAACCTTTCCTGGCCGACCCCTACCCCCCTTCCTTCCATTACAGACTGATACACTCTTGAAGTCACTCTGTTTCGCTCCATTCTCTCTACATGTCCGAACCACCTCAACAACCCTTCCTCAGCCCTCTGGACAACAGTTTTGGTAATCCCACAACTCCTCCTAACTTCCAAACTACGAATTCTCTACACATTATATTCACACCACACATTGCCCTCAGACATGACATCTCCACTGCCTCCAGCCTTCTCTTCACTGCAACATTCATCACCCATGCTTCACACCCATATAAGAGCGTTGGTAAAACTATACTCTCATACATTCCCCTCTTTGCCTCCAAGGACAAAGTTCTTTGTCTCCACAGGCTCCTAAGTGCACCACTCACCCTTTTCCCCATCAATTCTATGATTCACCTCATCTTTCATAGACCCATCCGCTGACACGTCCACTCCCAAATATCTGAATGCATTCACCTCCTCCATACTCTCTCCCTCCAATCTGATATTCAATCTTTCATCACCTAATCTTTTTGTTATCCTCATAACCTTACTCTTTCCTGTATTCACTTTTTTATTCTTTTGCACACCCTACCAAATTCATCCACCAATCTCTGCAACTTCTCTTCAGAATCTCCCAAGAGCACAGTGTCATCAGCAAAGAGCAACTGTGACAACTCCCACTTTATGTGTGATTCTTTATCTTTTAACTCCACGCCTCTTGCCAAGACCCTCGCATTTACTTCTCTTACAACCCCATCTATAAATATATTAAGCAACCACGGTGACATCACACATCCTTGTCTAAGGCCTACTTTTACTGGGAAATAATTTCCCTCTTTCCTACATACTCTAACTTGAGCCTCACTATCCTCGTAAAAACTCTTCACTGCTTTCAGTAACCTACCTCCTACACCATACACCTGCAACATCTGCCACATTGCCCCCCTATCCACCCTGTCATACGCCTTTTCCAAATCCATAAATGCCACAAAGACCTCTTTAGCCTTATCTAAATACTGTTCACTTATATGTTTCACTGTAAACACCTGGTCCACACCCCCCTACCTTTCCTAAAGCCTCCTTGTTCATCTGCTATCCTATTCTCCGTCTTACTCTTAATTCTTTCAATAACAACTCTACCATACACTTTACCAGGTACACTCAACAGACTTATCCCCCTATAATTTTTGCACTCTCTTTTGTCCCCTTTGCCTTTATACAAAGGAACTATGCATGCTGTCTGCCAATCCCTAGGTACCTTACCCTCTTCCATACATTTATTAAATAATTGCACCAACCACTCCAAAACTATATCCCCACCTGCTTTTAACATTTCTATCTTTATCCCATCAATCCCGGCTGCCTTACCCCCTTTCATTTTACCTACTGCCTCACGAACTTCCCCCACACTCACAACTGGCTCTTCCTCACTCCTACAAGATGTTGTTCCTCCTTGTCCTATACACGAAATCACAGCTTCCCTATCTTCATCAACATTTAACAATTTCTCAAAATATTCCCTCCATCTTCCCAATACCTCTAACTCTCCATTTAATAACTCTCCTCTCCTATTTTTAACTGACAAATCCATTTGTTCTCTAAGCTTCCTTAACTTGTTAATCTCACTCCAAAACTTTTTCTTATTTTCAATAAAATTTGTTGATAACATCTCACCCACTCTCTCATTTGCTCTCTTTTTACATTGCTTCACCACTCTCTTAACCTCTCTCTTTTTCTCCATATACTCTTCCCTCCTTGCATCACTTCTACTTTGTAAAAACTTCTCATATGCTAACTTTTTCTCCCTTACTACTCTCTTTACATCATCATTCCACCAATCGCTCCTCTTCCTCCCGCACCCACTTTCCTGTAACCACAAACTTCTGCTGAACACTCTAACACTACATTTTTAAACCTACCCCATACATCTTCGACCCCATTGCCTATGCTCTCATTAGCCCATCTATCCTCCAATAGCTGTTTATATCTTACCCCTAACTGCCTCCTCTTTTAGTTTATAAACCTTCACCTCTCTCTTCCCTGATGCTTCTATTCTCCTTGTATCCCATCTACCTTTTACTCTCAGTGTAGCTACAACTAGAAAGTGATCTGACATATCTGTGGCCCCTCTATAAACATGTACATCCTGAAGTCTACTCAACAGTCTTTTATCTACCAATACATAATCCAACAAACTACTGTCATTTCTCCCTACATCATATCTTGTATACTTATTTATCCTCTTTTTCTTAAAATATGTATTACCTATAACTAAACCCCTTTCTATACAAAGTTCAATCAAAGGGCTCCCATTATCATTTACACCTGGCACCCCAAACTTACCTACCACAGTTTCTCCTACTTTAGCATTCAGATCCCCTACCACAATTACTCTCTCACTGGTTCAAAGGCTCTATACATTCATTAACATCTCAAAATCTCTCTCTCTCCTCTACATTCCTCTCTTCTCTAGGTGCATACACGCTTATTATGACCCACTTTTCGCATCCAACCTTTACTTTAATCCACATAATTCTTGAATTTACAAAATTCATATTCTCTTTTCTCCTTCCATAACTGATCCTTCAACATTACTGCTACCCCTTTCTTTGCTCTAACTCTCTCAGATACCCAGATTTAATCCCCTTTATTTCCCCCACCGAAACTCCCCTACCCCCTTCAGCTTTGTTTCGCTTAGGGCCAGGACATCCAACTTCTTTTCATTCATAACATCAGCAATCATCTGTTTCTTGTCATCCGCACTACATCCACGCACATTCAAGCATTCCAGTTTTATAAAGTTTTTCTTCTTCTCTTTTTTAGTAAATGTCTACAGGAGAAGGGGTTACTAGCCCATTGCTCCCGGCATTTTAGTCGCCTCATACGACACGCATGGCTTACGGAGGAAAGATTCTTTTCCACTTCCCCATGGACAATAGAAGACATAAAGAAGAACAAGAGCTATTTAGAAAAAGGAGAAAAACCTAGATGTATGTATATATATATGCATGTGCATGTCTGTGAAGTGTGACCAAAGTGTAGGTAGGAGTAGCAAGATATTCCTGCTATCTAGCGTGTTTATGAACATGAAAAAAAAATTTCTTTTAAAACACTCACATAAATATTCTTAAGATTTTGGTAAGAAAAAATAATTTTTTTTTTTGAATATTTTTCGACACAGAGAGGGATTCAGGATCAGAGGTCTTGACAGTCAAATGGTTAAAATTATTATTCATTTAATAAAAATTCATAAATAACATTAAAAAGTTATCAGAAAGCTGTGTAGTACATATGTAAATCCATAACCCTATTTCAAAATCTGCATCTAGTTTTTCAGTAGTCTTTAAGGATTAAGTTTAGTTTGTTTGAAATGCATTGCATGCTAATGGCTTTCTTTTGTGCTTAACAATATTTTTTATTATATAAAGACAACATTAATTGCATAATGCATAAAAGAAATAAAGCACAGTAGACCGTTATATTACACAGATTTATTTGCCACGTTTTGGTTACTGCACTACTGAAAAATTGTGGCACAATTTTATACAACACATTGCGGGCGCGGAAAAAATTTCCCCAGCTGAAGCTTCTGCCTTGTTGTGGGTCAGTGAGGGGAAACCTCCCGCCATCCCCTGCCACCCCTGACACTCCCGCCACCACCATCCCAGCCTTCATGAATACGTGTACAGATCTATCCTGTCTAAGGAGCTAGCTGTATTTGTGAATTGTGTTTTGATCTTTTAATTACCATATCTTGTATCTACCAAGCAATCATGGCACCCAGTAGGCATACCACTGCTGCTGAAAGTGGCACGGAAAGGTATAAACATTCAAGTCTTAGAGTTAATGAAGAAAATAGAGATATTAAGCAAGAGATAGCCTGTGGCTGTAATGAAGCATCAATGTGTAATTAAAAAGAATGAGGTAAATATATGAATTTGTGTGATGAATAACTGAATGGCTGATTTAGTGACTGACTGACTTGGCTGATTTACTGACTGACTTAACTGATTTACTGACTTATTCAACTGATTTACTGAATGACTTGACAGATTTACTGACTGATTTGACTGATTTACTGACTGACTTGACAGATTTACTGACTGACTTAATTGATTTACTGACTGACTGACTTAACTGATTTACTGACTGACTGACTTGATTTACTGACTGACTGACTTGACTGATTTACTGACTTGACTGATTTACTTACTGACTGACTGGACTGATTTACTTATTGACTGACTTGACTGATTTACTGACTGACTGACTGACTTAACTGATTTACTGACTGACTTAAAGTTAGACTTTTTTACTGGAGAGGATCCTGAAACGGTGTCTAGAGCAGCTGATGCCTTACCATCAATTGTATAATGCACTGCGGGGTAAAATAGAACAGAAATCCATTACAGAATTTATGCACACTCCAGCACAACCATCGACTTCAGTACCAGAACCTCTACCATTCACCTCGGCCCAGCAGGGCCACAGCATAACTCTCCCCTCTCGTCACAATCATCCACAAACACCAGCACCCATAATTTAAGGTAAGAAATAATATTATTTGTTGCATCTGTAGTCCTTAGCAGTAAGAACAACATAATACAGACTGTACAGCACGACAATGAACTACAATTACATATTCACTTTTATTTTTGTAAGATCTGGAAGTCTAAAACAAGTTGTTTGGCTTTTTTGGGGCTTCCAGGAATGCAACCCTGTTTTCATACAAGTTCTTCAGTTTATCTAACATGGATTTACCTAACATGGCGTTTTCAGGAACGTAACTACCGTGTAATATAACGGTCTACTGTAATCGTATTTGTATATAAATAAGATGATAATATGTACTAAAAGCCATAAAATACAAACCTGTAGAAGGTAACACGGCAATCATTGCAAGGATCAGCCACACAGACAGCATCAGGGTGTGAATGACAGGAAGCATGACGACACTCATTCTTACACACTCGTGCTCTCACACCACGAGCACACACAAAACCAACAGACACCTGCTCCAGAATCTGACCTGTAAATAGTAGTGAGGTAATTAAGTAATCAATACATCACTATATTTATTCTTAGGCAAGGGGCTAGTAACCTCTTCTTCTGTATAAATTACTAAATGTAAAAAGAAGAAAGACTTTTGCCACCTTGCCTTGGTAGGAGACAGTGGTGCACTGAAAAAAAAAATTATTCTTAGCCTGATCTTTACAATGTCCATCTTTACACATATCTAACTAGAAGTATAGTATATTCTTTCTTATTAATCCCTCCATTAAATCTACCATTGGATTCAAATGATTACACAAAAAAAAATTTATAAGGAAGGTAAGGCTTAAACTACCCAGTATAGTAAAACACAGGTAACTGTAAGCAGCACTTCTATTCAGAGTAAAAATTATTTAGATTTATGAAGAATGGCAGGTAAATAAAAACAATCAGCAACTGTAACTCAAGATACACATTGCATATTATTATATACTCTATGTTAAGTTTAAAAGGGTGGACCAGTAAGTTAGTAGAGTCTGTCTTATATATAACTGGGCAAAAGCCCAAGTGATTGAGCCATGTTAGGCGATATTTTCTATGACAGACCAAATATTCTTTTCCCCACTGTAAAACGAGGATAAAACATACATGAGATATGAGGCTCTATGATCATGATCAATCCTATTATACATGAGAATTTTATAAACTATATAAGACATAAGTGGATAAACATCCACACTGAATCTTCTCACCATTTGGCCCACATCGGACATGTCCACGGGTGAGGGTCTCATGAATGGGATGACCCTTCACATCTACACACCAGGTGAGGCCACCAGCACGCTGCTCATGAGCATATGCTCCATCAGCCTCACATACTGGGGCTTGCACAGTCATGCCTTGCGTTGAAGCTGGTGTCTCTGTGAAAACAAAACACATGTAAACATGAGAGCTAAGACAGTTTTGGATAAAGAATAAAAAGGCACAATACTGTGACTGGAATAATGTACAGATAACCTACACATAAGAGAATGAAATTTATGATGATTAGTTAATGGTCCAAGTTGGACCAAAATGCCATCACACGTTTCTTTCTCTAGACTGCAGGTTATTTGTGTAGTTTTAGAAATTACTGCTGTCAATAAAAAAACATACAGTGAAGTATTAACATCCTCTCATACATTAAAGTTAAATCCAGCTAAAAGTTTCATTGTACATGTGCTGTATAGCAACACAGGTATATCTTTCTGTCTCAAACTTTTAAGAGCTAAAGAAGACATAGAAGCAATGATGAATGAAAAACTGAGACAAAAGGGGTCAGAGGACAGAGACTTGGGATGGTAAATGAGAATTCTGCGCCAACTGAAATAACTGTTGTTCTGGAAGACTTCAAATAAAAAAATTAATATGCTTGGTGTAAATTGTAATCAGTGACCTTTACTTATATTTAGACAAAGACCTTGTAATAGGCAATACATGCACATATGTATATATAAAATGTTTATAATGTGCAGTTCTTCAAAGCCTAAGAGAAGCCATGAAGTGCTTCCCATCACTGAAAAAGTGACAATTTTCCATTTATTGTGTATAATTTCAGGTAGTAGGTTGGTAGACAGCAACCACCCAGGGAAGTACTACCGTCCTGCCAGATGACTGTGAAACAAAAACCTGTAACTGTTTTGCATGATGGTAGGATTGCTGGTTTTCTTTTTCTGTCTCATAAACACGCTAGATAACAGGGATATCTTGCTACTCCTACTTACACTTTGGTCACACTTCACAGACACGCACATGCATATATATATATACATACATCTAGGATTTTCTCCTTATTCTAAATAGCTCTTGTTCTTTTTTATTTCTTCTATTGTCCATGGGGAAGTGGAAAAGAATCTTTCCTCCGTAAGCCATGCGTGTCGTATGAGGCGACTAAAATGCCGGGAGCAATGGGCTAGTAACCCCTTCTCCTGTATACATTTACTAAAAAAGAGAAGAAGAAAAACTTTATAAAACTGGGTTGTTTAAATGTGCGTGGATGTAGTGCGGATGACAAGAAACAGATGATTGCTGATGTTATGAATGAAAAGAAGTTGGATGTCCTGGCTCTAAGCGAAACAAAGCTGAAGGGGTAGAGAGTTTCAGTGGGGGGAAATAAATGGGATTAAATCTGGAGTATCTGAGAGAGTTAGAGCAAAGGAAGGGGTAGCAGTAATGTTACATGATCAGTTATGGAAGGAGAAAAGAGAATATGAATGTGTAAATTCGAGAATTATGTGATTAAAGTAAAGGTTGGATGCGAGAAGTGGGTCATAATAAGCGTGTATGCACCTGGAGAAGAGAGGAATGCAAGAGGAGAGAGAGAAGATTTTGGGAGATGTTAAGTGAATGTATAGGAGCCTTTGAACCAAGTGAGAGAGTAATTGTGGTAGGGGACCTGAATGCTAAAGTAGGAGAAACTTTTAGAGAGGGTGTGGTAGGTAAGTTTGGGGTGCCAGGTGTAAATGATAATGGGAGCCCTTTGATTGAACTTTGTATAGAAAGGGGTTTAGTTATAGGTAATACATATTTTAAGAAAAAGAGGATAAATAAGTATACACGATATGATGTAGGGCGAAATGACAGTAGTTTGTTGGATTATGTATTAGTAGATAAAAGACTGTTGAGTAGACTTCAGGATGTACATGTTTATCGAGGGGCCACAGATATATCAGATCACTTTCAAAGTTGTAGCTACACTGAGAGTAAAAGGTAGATGGGATACAAGGAGAATAGAAGCATCAGGGAAGAGAGAGGTGAAGGTTTATAAACTAAAAGAGGAGGCAGTTAGGGTAAGATATAAACAGCTATTGGAGGATAGATGGGCTAATGAGAGCATAGGCAATGGGGTCGAAGAGGAATGGGGTGAGTTTAAAAATGTAGTGTTAGAGTGTTCAGCAGAAGTTTGTGGTTACAGGAAAGTGGGTGCAGGAGGGAAGAGGAGCGATTGGTGGAATGATGATGTAAAGAGAGTAGTAAGGGAGAAAAAGTTAGCATATGAGAAGTTTTTACAAAGTAGAAGTGATGCAAGGAGGGAAGAGTATATGGAGAAAAAGAGAGAGGTTAAGAGAGTGGTGAAGCAATGTAAAAAAGAGAGCAAATGAGAGAGTGGGTGAGCTGTTATCAACAAATTTTGTTGAAAATAAGAAAAAGTTTTGGAGTGAGATTAACAAGTTAAGGAACCCTAGAGAACAAATGGATTTGTCAGTTAAAAATAGGAGAGGAGAGTTATTAAATGGAGAGTTAGAGGTATTGGGAAGATGGAGGGAATATTTTGAGGAATTGTTAAATGTTGATGAAGAAAAGGGAAGCTGTGATTTCGTGTATAGGGCAAGGAGGAATAACATCTTGTAGGAGTGAGGAAGAGCCAGTTGTGAGTGTGGGGAAGTTCGTGAGGCAGTAGGTAAAATGAAAGGGGGTAAGGCAGCCGGGATTGATGGGATAAAAAATAGAAATGTTAAAAACAGGTGGGGATATAGTTTTTTGGAGTGGTTGGTGCAATTATTTAATAAATGTATGGAAGAGGGTAAGGTACCTAGGGATTGGCAGAGAGCATGCATAGTTCCTTTGTATAAAGGCAAAGGGGATAAAAGAGAGTGCAAAAATTATAGGGGGATAAGTCTGTTGAGTGTACCTGGTAAAGTGTATGGTAGAGTTATAATTGAAAGAATTAAGAGTAAGACGGAGAAATAGGATAGCAGATGAACAAGGAGGCTTTAGGAAAGGTAGGGGGTGTGTGGACCAGGTGTTTACAGTGAAACATATAAGTGAACAGTATTTAGATAAGGCTAAAGAGGTCTTTGTGGCATTTATGGATTTGGAAAAGGCGTATGACAGGGTGGATAGGGGGGCAATGTGGCAGATGTTGCAAGTGTATGGTGTAGGAGGTAGGTTACTGAAAGCAGTGAAGAGTTTTTAACGAGGATAGTGAGGCTCAAGTTAGAGTATGTAGAAAAGAGGGAAATTTTTTCCCAGTAAAAGTAGGCCTTAGACAAGGATGTGTGATGTCACCGTGGTTGTTTAATATATTTATAGATGGGGTTGTAAGAGAAGTAAATGCGAGGGTCTTGGCAAGAGGCGTGGAGTTAAAAGATAAAAAAATCACACACAGGGTGGGAGTTGTCACAGCTGCTCTTTGCTGATGACACTGTGCTCTTGGGAGATTCTGAAGAGAAGCTGCAGAGATTGGTGGATGAATTTGGTAGGGTGTGCAAAAGAAGAAAATTAAAGGTGAATACAGGAAAGAGTAAGGTTATGAGGATAACAAAAAGATTAGGTGATGAAAGATTGAATATCAGATTGGAGGGAGAGAGTATGGAGGAGGTGAACGTATTCAGATATTTGGGAGTGGACGTGTCAGCGGATGGGTCTATGAAAGATGAGGGGAATCATAGAATTGATGAGGGAAAAAGAGTGAGTGGTGCACTTAGGAGTCTGTGGAGACAGAGAACTTTGTCCTTGGAGGCAAGAGGGGAATGTATGAGAGATAGTTTTTACCAACGCTCTTATATGGGTGTGAAGCATGGGTGATGAATGTTGCAGGCGAGGAGAAGGCTGGAGGCAGTGGAGATGTCATGTCTGAGGGCAATGTGTGGTGTGAATATAATGCAGAGAATTCGTAGTTTGGAAGTTAGGAGGAGGTGCGGATTACCAAAACTGTTGTCCAGAGGGCTGAGGAAGGTTGTTGAGGTGGTTCGGACATGTAAGAGAATGGAGCGAACAGAATAACTTCAAGAGTGTATCAGTCTGTATGAAGGAAGGCGGGGTAGGGGTCGGCCTAGGAAGGGTTGGAGGGAGGGGTAAAGGAGGTTTTGTGTGCGAGGGGCTTGGACTTCCAGCAGGCATGAGTGAGCATGTTTGATAGGAGTGAATGGAGACAAATGGTTTTTAATACTTGACGTGCTGTTGGAGTGTGAGCAAAGTAACATTTATGAAGGGATTCAGGGAAACCGGCAGGCCGGACTTGAGTCCTGGAGATGGGAAGTACAGTGCCTGCACTCTGAAGGAGGGGTGTTAATGTTGCAGTTTAAAAAATGTAGTGTAAAGCACCCTTCTGGCAAGACAGTGATGGAGTGAATGATGGTGAAAGTTTTTCTTTTTCGGGCCACCCTGCCTTGGTGGGAATCGGCCAGTGTGATAATAAAATAATAATAAAATTTACCAATTAGGGAGCAAGGGGCTAGTAACCTCTTCTCCTGTATAAATTACTAAATTTAAAAAGAGATACTTTCGTTTTTCTTTTTGGGACACCCTGCCTCGGTGGGATACGGCCGGTTTGTTGAAAGAATAATAATAATAATTTACCAATTAAACTTTATAATAGGGATGTATAGGACTTATATATAGGGTTCGCTATTATCCATGGTTTCTTTACCTACGGCAGGTCCTTGGAAGGTATCCCCACCGGATATGGGGGCCTACTGTATATGCCCCTGTTCATCAGTTTGTTTTTATCTGTGCTAAATGTGCATATTTTGTACATGTATGTATGGGACTATATAAAATTGTACTTGCCTTAAAATACCGAAGTTGCTGATCAAAGTACATTATTAATCCTTCTCCCCATGCAAACATAAAACTGTAAGAATCTTAAAAAAAAAAAAAAAAAAAAAAAAAAAAAAGACTTAGAAGAGTGCCCTTTACACTCCCTGAGGTTCCACACAACCCTTTACTCACCCTGAGGTTCCATAAAAACAGCATTTTACTCATGCACTCATGCTGAGGTTCCACACAAATAGCCCTTTACTCACCCTGAGGTTCCCACACAAATAGCCCTTTACTCACCCTGAGGTTCCACACAACCCTTTACTCTCCCTGAGGTTCCACACAAATAACCCTTTACTCACCCTGAGGTTCCACACAAATAACCCTTTACTCACCCTGAGGTTCCACACAGCCCTTTACTCACCCTGAGGTTCCACACAGCCCTTTACTCACCCTGAGGTTCCACACAAATAGCTCCACACCCATTGAAGCAGCACTTTCTGGAGCCCTCACAGTGGGTGTCGAACATGCACTGTTGGCTGGGCACACACGTCAGGAGGGAGAGGTCGCTGGGGGCACTTGGGCATGTCCCGGGCTTGGGCACCAGATCTATATAACAAGCCATGCAGGTGACTATTACTTGTGGTGTATATGTGAGGGGAAGGTGTGCAGGGAAAGGTGTTAGGACAAGCAGAGTGAATATGGATTAATAGAGAAAATACATTGGTGAAGGTAGCAGCTATATGTGGTGAAGGTTGGAGTACATGTAGTGAAGGCAGCAGCTATATGTGGTGAAAGTAGCAGCTACATGTGGTGAAGGTAGCATCTACATTTGGTGAAAGTGCTATGTGGCATTACAAGCAGTTGCCAGTACGTATGGTAGAGGTAGCATTCTAGTTGGATGTGGCATCAGGAGTACTTGCATGTGGTGAAAGTAACAGCAGTATGTGGTATAAGTAGCAGCTGTATGTGGCAGAAGCATCAGTTGCATGTTGTAGAAGTAACAGCTGTATTTGATTTAAAGACATTCAATAAATAATTTTACTCACTCCTACATAGGCTAATGCAATATACTAAGTTACTGCCAGCATACTTCACACATAATAAATGCCCTAATGCATTAATAAAAAATTGTTACATAATCTACACTGTACTATATAAGAATAAGTATCCTACTGGACTCTCTTATTGCTTTTCTAAAAGATTCTAACACTAGTGACCATAACAACCTCATCATTAAAATAATGGAAAAACTATGAAATCTTGGGCCACCAAGTAATTTATCTAACTTTACCTCATTAATGAAAACTATATGTAATAATAAAAGGCACCCTCATCTGCTTTTCCAATAAACAGTGGTGTCTTTCAAGGCATCATTCTTTACCCTTTACCAGGGTTTGTATACCTTTAATGTTCATAAATAAAAGCAAACAATAATTATTGCCACTGTAGTCTTAAGTTAGGTTAAATTTGCTTGAAATCATCTACATAACCATGGGCTTCCTGCACTCACAACCAAATACCTCATTTTTTTATTTTATTATCACACTGGCCGATTCCCACCAAGGCAGGGTGGCCCGAAAAAGAAAAACTTTCACCATCATTCACTCCATCACTGTCTTGCCAGAAGGGTGCTTTACACTACAGTTTTTAAACTGCAACATTAACACCCCTCCTTCAGAGTGCAGGCACTGTACTTCCCATCTCCAGGACTCAAGTCCGGCCTGCCGGTTTCCCTGAACCCCTTCATAAATGTTACTTTGCTCACACTCCAACAGCACGTCAAGTATTAAAAACCATTTGTCTCCATTCACTCCTATCAAACACGCTCACACAAACCTGCTGGAAGTCCAAGCCCCTCGCACACAAAACCTCCTTTACCCCCTCCCTCCAACCTTTCCTAGGCTGACCCCTACCCCGCCTTCCTTCCACTACAGACTGATACACTCTTGAAGTTATTCTGTTTCGCTCCATTCTCTCCACATGTCCGAACCACCTCAACAAACCCTTCCTCAGCCTCTGGACAACAGTTTTGGTAATCCCGCACCTCCTCCTAACTTCCAAACTACGAATTCTCTGCATTATATTCACACCACACATTGCTCTCAGACATGACATCTCCACTGCCTCCACCCTTTTCCCCTCGCTGCAACATTCATCACCCATGCTTCAACCCCATATAAGAGGTTGGTTAAAACTATACTCTCATACATTCCCCTCTTTGCCTCCAAGGACAAAGTTCTTTGTCTCCACAGACTCCTAAGTGTACCACTCACCCTTTTCCCCCTCATCAATTCTATGATTCACCTCATCTTTCATAGACCCATCCGCTGACACGTCCACTCCCAAATATCTGAATACATTCACCTCCTCCATACTCTCTCCCTCCAATCTGATATCCAATCTTTCATCACCTAATCTTTTTGTTATCCTCATAACCTTACTCTTTCCTGTATTCACTTTCAATTTTCTTCTTTTGCACACCCTACCAAATTCATCCACCAATCTCTGCAACTTCTCTTCAGAATCTCCCAAGAGCACAGTGTCATCAGCAAAGAGCAACTGTGACAACTCCCACTTTATGTGTGATTCTTTATCTTTTAACTCCACACCTCTTGCCAAGACCCTCGCATTTACTTCTCTTACAACCCCATCTATAAATATATTAAACAACCACGATGACATCACACATCCTTGTCTAAGGCCTACTTTTACTTGGAAATAATTTCCCTCTTTCTTACATACTCTAACTTGAGCCTCACTATCCTCGTAAAAACTCTTAACTGCTTTCAGTAACCTACCTCCTACACCATACACCTGCAACATCTGCCACATTGCCCCCCTATCCACCCTGTCATATGCCTTTTCCAAATCCATAAATGCCACAAAGACCTCTTTAGCCTTATCTAAATACTGTTCACTTATATGTTTCACTGTAAACACCTGGTCCACACACCCCCTACCTTTCCTAAAGCCTCCTTGTTCATCTGCTATCCTATTCTCCGTCTTACTCTTAATTCTTTCAATAATAACTCTACCATACACTTTGCCAGGTATACTCAACAGACTTATCCCCCTATAATTTTTGCACTCTCTTTTATCCCTTTGCCTTTATACAAAGGAACTATGCATGCTCTCTGCCAATCCCTAGGTACCTTACCCTCTTCCATACATTTATTAAATAATTGCACCAACCACTCCAAAACTATATCCCCACCTGCTTTTAACATTTTTATCTTATCCCATCAATCCCGGCTGCCTTACCCCCTTTCATTTTACCTACTGCCTCACGAACTTCCCCCACACTCACAACTGGCTCTTCCTCACTCCTACAAGATGTTGTTCCTCCTTGCCCTATACACGAAATCACAGCTTCCCTATCTTCATCAACATTTAACAATTCCTCAAAATATTCCCTCCATCTTCCCAATACCTCTAACTCTCCCTTTAATAACTCTCCTCTCCTATTTTTAATGACAAATCCATTTGTTCTCTAGGCTTTCTTAACTTGTTAATCTCACTCCAAAACTTTTTCTTATTTTCAACAAAATTTGTTGATAACATCTCACCCACTCTCTCATTTGCTCGCTTTTTACATTGCTTCACCACTCTCTTAACCTCTCTCTTTTTCTCCATATACTCTTCCCTCCTTGCATCACTTCTGCTTTGTAAAAACTTCTCATATGCTAACTTTTTCTCCCGTACTACTCTCTTCACATCATCATTCCACCAATCGCTCCTCTTTCCCTCCCGCACCACTTTCCTGTAACCACAAACTTCTGCTGAACACTCTAACACTACATTTTTAAACCTACCCCATACCTCTTCGACCCCATTGCCTATGCTCTCATTAGCCCATCTATCCTCCAATAGCTGTTTATATCTTACCCTAACTGCTCCTCTTTTAGTTTATAAACCTTCACCTCCCTCTTCCCTGATGCTTCTATTCTCCTTGTATCCCATCTACCTTTTACTCTCAGTGTAGCTATAACTAGAAAGTGATCTGATATATCTGTGGCCCCTCTATAAACATGTACATCCTGAAGTCTACTCAACAGTCTTTTATCTACCAATACATAATCCAACAAACTACTGTCATTTCGCCCTACATCATATCTTGTATACTTATTTATCTTCTTTTTCTTAAAATATGTATTACCTATAACTAAACCCCTTTCTATACAAAGTTCAATCAAAGGGCTCCCATTATCATTTACACCATTACATATATTATTTGCTGTAATATATGGATATAAAATAAACTAACCTGATAGATCTCAAAATATATAACATATACTATACAGTGCCAGGGAAATTGGAGATAATTAGGTTTGATCCAAGGAAAGGAAGGGTACCTCTAATTCCCTGTATCAAGAGCCCTTCACCAACATCAAGATGCCTCCCTCCCATACAAAGATAAAGGACTAAGAAAAGACTCCAATGCATCACCTTGAGAGCCACAATTAGATTCTCCCAAGCAAACAAGGTGACAAGCAAAATTACCCACCAGAAGTACTTCAGATAAGACTGACAGTAGGGGATCTACATATTCACCTGTCATGTAAATACATGTACAAGGAGCAAGAAGAAGAGATATACACAGTAAACAAGATATGATGTAAGGTGTAATGACAGTAGTTTGTTGGACTATGTATTGGTAGAAAAAATGCTGTTGGGTAGACTTCAAGATGTACATGTTCACAGAGGGGCCACAGATATATCAGACCACTTTTTAGTTGTAACTACAGTGAGAGTACAAGGTAGATGGGATACGAGGAAAATGGAAGCAACAGGTAAGAGAGAGGTGAAGGTTTATAAGCTAGAGGAGGAGGCAGTTAGGGTAAAATATAAACAACTAGTGGAGGATAGATGGGCTAGTGCGAGTATAGGCAATGGGGCTGAAGATGTATGGGGTAGGTTTAAGAACGTAGTGTTAGAGGATTCAGCAGAAGTTTGTGGTTACAGGAATGTGGGTGCAGGAGGGAAGAAGAGCAATTGGTGGAATGATGTAAAGAGATTAGTAAGAGAGAAAAAGTTAGCATATGAGAGGTTTTTACAAAACAGAAGTGATGCAAGGAGGGAGGAGTAAATGGAAAGGAAAAGAGGGGTTAAGAGAGTGGTGAAGAAATGTAAAAAGAGAGCAAATGAGAGAGTGGGTGAAATGCTATCAACAAATTTTGTTGAAAATAAGAAAAAGTTTTGGAGTGTAGAGGAAGCCTAATGAACGAATGGATTTGACAGTTAAAAGTAGGAGAGGAGAATTATTCAATGGAGAGTTAGAGGTATCAGGAAGATGGAGGGCATATTCTGAGGAACTGTTGATGAAGATAGGGAAGCTGTGATTTCGTGTATAGGGCAATTAGGAATAACATCTTGTAGGAGTGAGGAGGAGCAAGTTGTGAGTGTGGGGGAAGTTTGTGAGATAGTAGGTAGAATGAAAGAGGGTAAGGCAGCTGAGATTGATGGGATAAAGGTAGAAATGTTAAAAGCAGGTGGGAATATAGTTCTGGAGTGGTTGGTGCTTTTATTTAATAAATGTATGGAAGAGGGTAAGGTACCTAGGGACTGGAAGAGAGCATGCATAGTTCCTTTGTATAAAGGTAAAGGGG